AAGGTGATGTTCCTTCCCAAAGAAAATATTTCTTTGAAGAACTGCAAGGTAAAATCATTTTAGAATTCTGCATGATGAGAAAGAAAAAAAACATACCATACCAGCTGGTATGAACATTTCTTCTTGTTAGCCACTTAGGATTTCCTACAGCCTATAGACTTAATATTGATCAAAGTTCTCCCTTGTTCTAGGTAGGCGAAGCCTAACTCAGGCGAGTCAAGTGGTTCAGACTGTGGTTTGGAAGGCAATAAAACATGGACCTTACAACATTTAAAATTTTCTTGATAATAAAAAGATATATAAAATATATAAATATATTTATAAAATTATATTTATTAAATTTAGTTGCATTAAATTATATATAAATTTATATACTATTAAATTTAAATTTATAAATATATATAAATAAAAAGGTCCAATAAGGATACAGCATTGAGATGGATGCAACTACCCTCTGCAATTACACTTTATCACAGAAGCAGCCCTCAAAAGTTATGTTGACTCCAGCAATAGGAATTCTGATAAGAATAAGGCTCTCTAAGTTAGGCCTTTTATGACTCAGGTAATCAGGAAACCTCATCAACCACTTGAACCCTATTTCCCCGAACCAATTAAGTATTAAGAACAACTTCCCTACTCCTTAAAAGTGACATCAGCCTAGCCTAGGTGAAACAAATGTTGCACCTACCATTAAATTTCAGACTAAATTAAAGACATTAAATTTCACACTAGTCTAAATACAACAATGTACAGTTTTATAATACTATTATGAGTGTGTTGTAAATGAGACTGTAAGCCTGTTCTCCATATGGTCCAGGTAGTTTTCCTCTATTCCATGACTGTGCACTGGTGAACTTTTTTATAATTTGCCACAGGAATGTGGAAGGGCAATGTATACCTATCCATTATAACAAATATACTCAAATTATATGCCCTCCTTACAAATCAATAGTATCTCTTTTTTTTTTCAATTAACAGGGCAATATACAGGCTTTCTTTACCATTAACATTGAGTCTATGAAAATATCAGACAAAACAATGTTATTGGAAATCAGTTAGCTTAATAGGAACCACTTTACAAATGGTAAGCAAATACATGCCAGCAGTTTAGGGCTTCTGGGACTCAAGCATCGTTGCTGATCATGTTTTTTGAGTTGATCAGTTAAATGATGTTACTTATCCAAGGACTTTGTGACTTGGATTAATCTGGTTAAACTACATAATGTATAATAATGCATAATAATACATAATGATGTTATTTTGAAACCAGGTTTTGTGGAATATGCTTATATTGCTGTGAATTTTGAATATACAATTATTGATAACCCATACTAACACTGTATTATGTGCATAAGTTGTTAGAAAAATAATAAATGTTCATATTATAAGTTCACCTTTCTTTATGGCTTATGACCTGTTTTAATGGGGATAATATTAGCGCCCAGTCACATAACTTTTAAGTTTTTTTAAGAAAGTATAAAAATTAAAATATAATACGTTTATTGTGAAATATTCTTAAATATAGATTCTGAGATCTAAAATAAATCCTTTTTCTCCCTTCTATCAGGTTTTTGCTACAGAGGGTTTAAAACTTGCTTCAGTTCTCCAAGGTTTCTCAAAACAGGTAATGTATGTCTCCTGAACACTAAACTTATGCCTCATCTTTTGAAGGTACAACAGTGGGTATAAAAATAAAAGCTATTATTTATTGGAATTATTATAATTTTCAAATTTGCATTTCAGCTGAAAGATGATGACAAGCTTTTACTTCTACTGGAAATAAACAAGCTGATGCCTCTGTGCCAGCAGCTCCAACTCACAGCTAAGACCCCCATTCAGAATAAAATATATACAAAGGTAAAAAGGATGTGTTATTCAGCTAGAAAAATAAAATGCTTTCTTCTTCTGCTTATATTAGTATAGATTTCACAGTCCTGTGTGTTATCACACAGCTCAGCTGCCAGAATAACTTTTCTCTTGTTATAACTGATGACAAAAACCTACAGCAGATCAACTCAGGCTATAAGGAATTGCTTTAATTTAAAAAAAAAATGCCTTAGCCACTTTACAGACTGTCCTCATATTCTTATTTGTCCAACCAAAGCTAGGCCCAAGACATTGAAGAAGTTTCAAGAGAGGAGTCATAGTTCCCTAGAGTGTCTTAATACCACAGTGGAAAGAGAGCTTTGCTCTCATTGCAGAACTGTCTCATTCATGTTATAGGCAGTGGAGCTGCCTGAAGGCTCTTCTGAATCTAGAATTTGGGAACAAAGTGCTTGGGGTCTTTAAATTACTTTTCTAGTCAAGTACTCACACCCATTGCCTTTACCTGTTTTATAGATGTTTCCTGATTTCCTTAATGTAAAAGTGTCTTAATAAATTTGGAGCTTAAATTGACAGTCTTTCTGTAATTACAGGTTGACAAATGTATTCTAAAAACAAGATTTGTCCTGGCTACATTGGCCCAACTTCTCCCAGTTTGCTATAAACTGATGCATAAGGTGAGTTAGTTCTTCCATAACAAACCTTTATCTTTGTACACAGAGAAAGAATATACTGTCAGTTGTGCTGTAAAGTGATATATGTGTCCCTAAAAATCACCATGCTATGCAAAATCATGAAATAAAAACCCACAGGGTATTCAGGGAAAATGGAGTAAGACAACAACACCTAAAAACCTCATCAGTGACACATTAAAAAAAAGACAGGAGCCTAGAAAAACATTACAGTTTTACACATGTTAAAAAGTTAAATGCATAAATACTACAATAGTAAAAGCATCAATGACCTTAGGCTACTGCTCAGCCTGCACTCTGGGTTCACACAGGGGCTTGGACTGGCAAAGCTGACACCTACGGGTGAGAGGGTGACCTTGCTTGGGCCCTCATTCCAGGACCTGGGGCATTGGCCATGGAGGCAGCGAGCAGGAATAGGGTGTGACTCTGGTGCTCCGACTGCACGGAAGATATATATGGTGCATTACCTTGAAAAGGACCTAAAGTTTGCTTGTGAAAGTGGATGCTGAAAGGGCTACAACTTGTGAACTATTGCGAGTGTTGCAGTTTTTGAGTTCTTACCGTTTCTGAAAGAAAAAATAGCACATAAGCAAACCTGAAATATGGATTGTGCTCAAATTTTTCCCTAATATATCAATTGCATTGGAACAAATTTGAATTTTTAAAAGAAGCATTATAGCAGAACTGACTGTACAAAAAAACAAAAGCCACATTTAACTTTATAAAATTACTTTTACAGTGCAAATCAGAAAATGATTGTATAAATTCTCTTCCACCCTGGATGGAAAGCAGATGGCAAACAGTTACAACTAAAGACAGCATGGATGAAAAAACCGTAGAAGCTTTTGGGGTCAGATCTCTAGAACATAACATAGCAAACCTGACATTTTTAGAAAGCAAATAATCGTCAGATTCTTCAGGGCTATGAGAAAATTAATTAAGCACTTTCTACTTTTTTTTTTCCCTTCCCATCAAGATTTCAGATTATCAAACTTGTTGTGACAATTCTTAGCATCTAATAAATGCCATGGTAGTTTTCAAAACTTTTAACTCCAGTGTGATTTTGTAATAGACATGTGTATCATTGCTAACATTTATTTAAGAATCAAAGCCATTTATCCAGAATGTCTTAATGAATCTTCAATCCAAAGAAATAGCTATGGGGCAGCTAGGTGACGCAGTGGATAGAGCACCGGCCCTGAAGTCAGGAGGACCTGAGTTCAAATCCGGCCTCAGACCAAACACTTGTCACTAACTAGCTGTGTGACCCTGGGCAAGTCACTTAACCCCAATTGCCTTAAAAAAAAATAGCTATGAAGATGTTCTCGAGAACCTCTGACATACCACATTAGTTATGTTCTGCTTACATGTTTACAGTTTTTAGTACCATATTAAAGAAATGTTTTTGAAGCAGTTTCATTTCTGGGAAATTCCTCATTGCTTTGTAATACCTTAAATCTCTAGATATCATTTATTTTGGAATATACCTATATGATTATTAAATCACTGTTTACAGATATTACTTAATGGAATAAATATGCTCCAACTGAACTTGTTGTAAAGTGAAATGTTTCCCCACAGCCTCAGTTATCCATTTTACAGCTGGAGATACATTTCCATGGAGAAAATCCATTAATAAGATAAATTAATGTATTTAGCAACCCATAGGAAAAGACATGGGGGCCAGATCTGTAGTGTTGTGGATATTGTAGTATTTATTATGAATATTTTTGCAACACTTTACAAACTATAGGATCTTCACCTACATCTTTTGTTCAGACCCCAGATTTTCTCCCATGCCTCTGTATAACAAAGTCCCCAAACTCAACTCCCAGAACTCACCATTCACTTTCTCTTTGAGTTTTTCTAAAATGTGTAGAGATTTCAACATCAAACCTTATCTATACTGTGACGTGGTAGAAAGGGTCCTATGGAGAATCGAGGGATCTGGGTCCTAGTCCTAGATACGACGACTGTATAATCTTGGGCAAGCCACTTCCTCCATCTGAACCTTAGGTTCTTCATCTATAAAGTAAATGGACTGGACTAAATGACCTCTTACTTTACAGATGAAGAAGATAACCTCTAATGCCCCTTCCCAGGCCTAAAATTCTGCATTTCACTAAACTGATTACATGATAAATTCTCACCTAAAAATTTACTCAAGATACTTGAGGTTTAAAAAACATTGGTCTAGAGCCTTACATATACTTATAAAGTAGCCATGTAATAAATGCTCAAAAATTGAATTATCGTATTTTACCAGTGAGAAGCAGCCTGGCACAGTGTATAGGAGCTAGCCTCAAAGTCCCAGCTACAATAAATACAGGCTTTATAACCCTGGGCAAGTCACTTAACCTCTCAGGGCTGTTAGCAACTTTTAACACTCTAAGCTGCAAAGCAGCTACCACATTTGCCTTTGTAAAGGGAGTTTCTTCAACCAACAGCATCAGTCAAGACCCAAAAAAGAATAATAAAAAGTTATACATTGGATAGCATTTTATACTTTTTGTAATACTTTCACATGCACTAAAACTCATTTGCTACCAACTTCAGTGAGAACTCACATACTTGAATCTCACCATCTCAGCTCTGAGCCGAGATGGGAGAGAACACCCTGGAAACGGGAGGGACAGAGATATGAAAAACCTGACTGGAGATCAGATGACAAGGGAAACAGCATGGTGGACAGAAAGAGTTGGGCCTAGAGGCAGGAAGACCTGGATTCAAGTCCTGTCTCTGACACAGACAGTTTTACCCTGGGCAAGTCCCTAATCTCTTAGGAGCCCAAGCAGCTTTCTTAGGCTCTTTAAGCTGAAGAGCATATGGCCATCTGCAATGGGAGAGAGAAATCCTCACCAAAAGCTCCCCAAATAATAGATCTGGTCAAAAAAATAAGTAAAGAGAAGATGGTCTAGTTTCTACCTTCTCTTATTCCCAATCTCTACTCTTCCAGTTCAGGCAATCAAGAAGTGTCCTTGGGCAGAGTGTACTACCTTGTCTGAAAGTTCTGGTGAAACTGGTGAACGAGGAGGCCTGAGGGGTCGGGTGTGGGGTGTCTTTTGTTTCGCCAAAGTGAATCCAAAATATTTGGGAAATAGTATTTGTAGTTTCCCAGATGTTTATGTTGCGTTTGAATAAGTGAGAAGAGCTAGGGAAAAATAGGGCATACTTGGGCAGGGGAGGGAAAGATGACCTAATAAATCAAGACTGACTGGCAAAGATCACCAATACTGAAGTGGCCAGGAACTGAAGCAGAGCCATCCCACAATACGGAGAGGACTGTTCTACCACCACTTTCTTGTCCAGTCGTGCTCTACAGCAGGTGGTCCTTTAACACATATAGATCTGTGTTTCTTTTTGATTTCATTTGTCTTCATGATGTTTCTGATCTGTTATTAATTCGTTTCACCACGACTTCTTCGTATTCTTTTTGTGTCAACAATCCCTCAGTAACGCTCTTGCTTTCTTCAAATTTGGGTAGCACAACAGCAATATATCCCTCAGTGGATGGCTAGAAAATAAATCCAAAATCTGACATAGCCGAAATGACAAAAACCCAACAAAAATTATAAATAAGGCTTTTTTTTTTACCTTTTCCTGCAAAATGGATGGCTTATCTAGAATATTTTCATTCACTTCCATCAACCGTCCTCTCACACAGCTGTTAAAAAAAATTTTTTAAAGACCATTTTAAAAGAAAATTGCTTCCGTTCTCCTTCTCCCCCAAGTTCTGTTTCAAAAGCAACTGACCTTGACACAGTATATTCTTCTCCATCTGAACAGGATATCCTACAAAGAGGCGCAAGTTCTGTTAGAAATTGTGCCCCCTGGATATAAAAGAAAGAACAAGAATTCATTCATATTTTAATTTTTCTTAACATATAAGCAGTCCTTATATTTAAAGCTAAGAATTTAGTAAATCTTAAAGTATTATATAAATGTGAATTTTTTTTTATAAACTAGTTAACATTCCTGTAAAAATTTACTAACAATAAGTGAAAATCAATCTAATAAACATTTATTGATCATATTCTATGTGCAAGGCACTGTACTAGGCACAAGAAATACACAAAGATGAATTTTTAAAGAGTCCCTGCCCTGAAGGAATTGACAATCTAGTAAGGGAAGGATAATATATTTATACACAATCGTAGAGTGGGAAGACCACGTGACCACTGGCAAGTTAAATTAAATCTCTATAAGTCTCAGTTTTGCCATCTTAGATTAGATGATCTCAAAGATTCCTTCTAGGTGTAAATCTTATGATCCTATACGGTACTAACACAAGTTAGGAGTTCAGTTAAGTGCAAAGAAGGGGTCAAACAGAGTGTCATAAAAAATCTAAAGAGATGTCATAGGGGAAGTGAGAACTGAAGCTGGCCTTGGGAAAAAAAAAAAAAAAGATTTCAAAAGGACAAGACCTGGGGAAGGGACAGACCAATACACAGAAGGTGAAAAAGGCAGGATAAAAATCAAGAAAAGGTCAGTGATCTAGTTTGGCTGGAGTGCACTGTGTATGAAAAAGTACCTGTGAAATAAGGTTGGCAACAAGGGAATAATCCTACACCCCTTAACAAGGAGTTTGTATTTGAGGTAAGAAGAAACTATTCAAGGTCTTCGAGCAGGGAATAAAAGTTACCCACTTCTAAATAAAATGACCAAACCCAGCACACTTAATCGTCTATTTTTTCATCTTTTTGTCCCCCAGCACCTAGCACAGCACGTTGTAAGAAGAGTTTAATATTTACTGAATTGAACTGTAATATTACTGCCTACTTTCTAGGATAAACTTTCCAAAGTGTACAAAAATCAAAGTTGCTCTATAATATTAAATTTTACATGATGGGTTTTATAACACTGTACAAATTTTTTAAATTTTGCTTCCTAATTTCATTCTTTCTTACTAAAACAAATCAGAAAGTGAAGAACATGTCATGGAGTTAGAAGGGCTTCCTCAGCAGATTTTAACAGACTTTGAGGAAGACCTGGGGTCATGATTTTTTGAGAAACTTATCTATCTATCTATCTATATATATCATTCTTTTAAAAATATTCTGTTGAATTAAAAGCATTTTAAAAATTGTTTTAAAATGAATAACACTGAAATATCACATGAAATATGACTAATGTGTTAAGATACTTCAATGTACCATGAAGCAATCCTTTGTGTTTTAACATCCTTCATTTCTTCATGGGAATTTTTCAGCAGAAGTATGAAAGATAGGATGTTTGTAACCAGGGAGGTGGTTAAGGTGTGTATACTTGTATATATAAAATATGATTGGTAATAGAAGATACTGGGTTCACAAGTGGCTGGATTGTAGTAAGAAAAATTTGGAAACAAAGAAATCTACTTCAGTAAAGTTATAAAATGCTCCCAACAAAAGTTGCCTAAATCTTGCAAATATTACAAGAACTGGTTTTCCTGGTACAAGAGGTCACTCACATAGACTTAAGCTTCTTAAATAAGCAAAGCAATGATAATCTGCCTACCCCGGCAAAACTTGAAGGTATTGGTTAGCACTTTGTAAGTTATAACACCCTGCCCCTCATGTAACAACACTAAAAGCATTCACCCCTAATCACAAAAGATTATATGGGAAAACAAGGAACACTAAACCTAGCCATGACTGGGGTTCTGCTCTCCAATCCCAAAACCTCCCCTTCTATCCCTGTTATTCACTTCCAAAGTCAAAAGCCATACCACTTAATTATTAATTACAGGGCAACAAATACCAATAATCTTTTGTGTTTTCACCTTGGCAAAAATAATTTTGTGCTAGCTACAGACAATAAATACTCTTAAGAATTTGCCACTAGTACAGAGAACAAATATTTTCTTTATATTATCAGAAAGGATTTTTTATATCAATTCACCACCATCCTCTCTCAAGGCTTATTTGTTTTTATATTACTATTAATGGTGAGGATGTAAAGAGATAATAAGAACAAATATCCATACCCGTTTAAACTTCCCAGAAACCTTGTTCTGAAGTCTGCTACAGTTGGCACTGATTTGGTAGTTAATACTTTTAATTGTTTTTCCATTTTGAAAAAGTGGATGAGATTCTGCCAATGTGATTACACAGATTCTATAAAAAAGAAACATTATCCATTAGTTAATATTTTAATCTCATCCATGACCTACTATTGTGTCAGGTACAATTTCTCTGAGTTTACACTGTACTACTCAACACTTGGTCCAGAAGCAATGACTTTTGTTCCCCTGTGGTTGTTGCTGGGTGAAAGAAAAGAACTAAGGCTTAATATGCAGGGTATGAAGGATTAATAATTAAGACAAAATTGAAAACTGCTACTCCTAAGATAATACAAAAATGCTAGAAAACAGATTAAATCTTAGTAGCTAATAGAACAGGACCAGAGATAATAGGGTTACTAAAAGATGGAAGACAGAAAGTAAAATAGTTACAACAACAGTTGATATATGTCACTTTAAGCTTTACAAATTCCTTCATATACAGTATTTCATCTGTTCCTCACAAAATTAGGCACAAGTATTATCTACTTATTACAAATGAGAATGATATAAACACATATATACACTCTGATCTATGACAACAGAGATATACATATACTTTTTTACCCTGAGTCACTTTCATCTTCATTTTTATGAGACTGAAGAGACTAGAATGACATCTATTAATTTTGGTAACAGTTCTGTATATAGGTAACAGTGAAAGGGACAAACCACTGAAGAGACCAAAAAAAAAATTATGAACACAATAAAGGCAAAGGGAGTTACATATTTTTAATGGATCCTCATATGGTAACCTAACTTCCTTTCTCTTCTAAACCTTCTGAAATCTTGCTTCTAGTGTCATCATTCAACTGCAAAAGCTCTCTCCTAAGTTTCCAATGTTAATTGCTAAATCTAATGACTTTTTCTCAATTCTGATCCCTCTTGACCTCTCTAGCACCTGACACTGTCAGTCACTATTTCCTTCTGGATAATCTCTCCTAAATTTCCAGGATTATACATGAAACTGGATTATTTAAAGCAAGAAACCTCAATGGCTCTCTTTCCTTTTTTTTCCCCTATCCTATCCTTCTTTCTTTGCACTTTTATTCCCCACCCTCCAAACTGAGGTGGGAGGGGTGAAGCCCTCATTATAGTCAAACAAAATAAATTCCCATATTGGCTATATCCAAAAATGTATGAAAATTGGGTAGCAAATTTCATCAGCTGTCTTCTGAATCACTGATTGGAGTTCTCAAGTCTTTCAAAGTTGTTTGTCTTTACAATGCTGTCACTGTATTTACTGTTCTACTTCTACACACTGTACTCTGCATCAGTTCATAAGTCTTCCCAGTTTCTCTGAAACCATCTCCTTAATTTCTTAGAGCACAATAATATTCCCTTGCATTCATTTGCCATAATTTGTTTAGCTATTCTACAATAGATGAGCATCCCCTCAGTTTCCAGTTCTTTGATACTACAAAAAGAGCTGCTACAAATATTTTTGAATATATGATTCCTTTTCCTCTTTCTTCTATTTGTGATAAATGCCTAATAGTAGTATTTCTGGGTCAAAAAGGTATGCAGAGTTTAGTAACTCTTTGAGCATAGTTCCAAACTGTTTTCCAGAATGGCTATACCAATTCATAGCTCTATCAAAAGTGCATTAATGTGCCTATTTCCTCACAGCTCCTTCAACAGTTGCCATGCTTCTTTTTTGTAATCTTTGCCAATCCGACGGGTGTGAGATAAATCATAGATATTCTTTAAATTTGTAGTTCTCTAATTATTAGGGATTTGGAATATTTTTTCAAGTGTGTTGATAACTTGAATTTCCTTTGAAAACTACCTGTTCATATCCTTTGACCATAAATTCATCTATGGGGGAATGGTTCTTAGCCTTATAAATTTCAATCAGTTCTTTATACATGGTATGCATGTCTTGATATGACAACTTTATCAGAGAAATCTGTTGCATAGATTTTTTCCCCTAGTTATATTTCCCTTCTAATGTTAACTGCATTGTGGTTTTGTTTTGTTTGTGCATATACTTGTTAATAAAAATTGTCTATTTTATCTTCTGTAATCTTTTCTATCCCTCGTTTGGTCATTGTCCCCCTATCCATAGATCTGAAAGGTAATTTCTTCCTCTCCTAATTAGTTTATTATGTCACCTTTAATGTCTATGTCATATATACATTTGAAGAAGTGAGTTTATACCTAATTTCTGCCAGACTGCTTTCCAGTTTTAGCAGGTATTTTCAAATTGTGAGTCCTTATCTGGGATATTTGGGTTTTTTCGAACAATAGGGCTACTGGGTTCATTTGCTTCTGTATGTTGTGTACCAAATCTGTTTCACTAACTGACCTATCTATTTTTTAACCAGGATCAAATCATTTTGATGAATGCTGCTTTGTAAGATAGTTTGAAATCTGCCACTGCTAAGCTCCCTTCCTTCCCACTTTTTAAAATTTCTCTTTAGGTTCTTGACAAGGTAGGTCTGACCATATCATCTTCCCTGCTCAATGAGCTCCAGTGCCTCCCTATTACCTGCATGATCTAATACAAACTCTTCTATTTGTCTTTTAAAGCTCTTCAAAACCTGAATCCTTCCTACCTTTCCAGGTTTCTTATACCTTCCTTCCCACCATGTACTCCCTGAGCTCTACACTTGCTTACTTGGAGTTCCTCTAACACAATCCTTCCTCTCATCTCTGTGCATTCCAGCTGGCTGTCCCTCATGCCTAAAATGCTCAGCCCCTTCACCCCTTCACCTCCACCTCTTAGTTTCCCTTTCATCCTTCAAGACTGAGCTCAAACTCCAAAATCAGAAGCCATTTCTGTCCATTCCCCCCCCACCCCCCTGTTGCTCATACCATCCCCCTTGAAGTTACCTTCATCTGCTCTGTATATATATATTGTATGTATCTAGTTATTATATACCTCCCTATTAGAACACCTGCTTCGTGACAGCAGGGACTGTTTTTTGCTTTTGTTTATATCCTTAGAACTTAGTGCAATGTCTGGCACATAAAAGCTTAATAGACATTTTTTGACCGACTTTTCCATTGTCATGATACTTCTGGTTAAATAACCAGGCTAGTCATCTAGAATCAGAGACCTCTCACCCCTGGACAATGCTGGAAATAAAAAAGTGATATGTTCTTAATCTGCAGCTTTCCCTTTCCTAATCTCAAAGCCAGCTACTCTTCTGTTCATATTAGTTATTATATATTCTGTCTCATTTTAAATATAGCCTATGACATGTTAAAATTTCCATCTAGGGATACAAAGACAAAAAAAAAACAGTTTCTGCCCTTAAGGAACTTATATTCACCTGGGGTAACAACACACCTGTAATAGGAAACACATACGATGTAATTTAGTAGGGCAGACAGTACTAACAGCTAGGTATCGGGAAAGGATTTATGTAGGCATTTGGACTGAATTAAATTCTTCCTTTGAAATGCCCCAGAAAGCAAAATCTAAATCTAGCTGTATCAGATATGGCGTCAATGCCTTAGGACCCTGCTAGCAGGCCCTTATGCTGCTCTTGTGACTGCCATCTCAAAACTGCTTCAAAGTTCTTTTCAAATTATAACAGCAAAATGTAGGTGCTACATATCACCAGAAAGAAAAACCTCTAGTCCTATAAAACAAAGTAAGGTTATATCAAAAATATAAGTAGCCAAGGAACCCTAGACTAGATTACCTTCTAAAGTCCATTCTAGCCTCATAATTATTCCTTGACTCATACTTCATTTGGATATGAAGCAAAGAAAAATCACTAAAGAACTCTAGGGAACTGCAATAAGGAGTATCTACAACCAAAAGGCATTTGGAAGTGAAGAGAACATTGTACACAGTAACAGCAATATTGTACAATGATCAATTGTGAATAACTTAGCTATTTTCAGCAATACAATGATCCAAGACAAGTCCAAAGGACTTATGATGAAAAATGCTACCCACCTCCAGAGAAAGAACTGATGGACTCTGAATGCAGATTGAAGCATACTTTTTAAATTTTATTTTTCTTGGTTTTTGTGTGTTTGTGGTTTGCAACATGGATAATATGTAATTTTTTTTAGTGATTTCTCATCTATAATTTAGATCAAATTGTTTACCTTCTTGAGGGGAGGGAGGGGGAAGAAGAGAACTAGAACTCAATTAAAAATAAAATAAAATAAAATTTTTAAAGGCAATTGGTAAGTGCATTATTGTGAACTGAAGAAATGTATGTAGGAAATATTACACACTTAATGGAGCCACTCCACAAAAAAGGTGCCAAAAATAATCAAACATATTGATCATAAAATGCTCGGTAGAGAATAATTAAGAATGCTACTCAACCTATAAGCTGATAGAGAGAGATGGTAAGTATCTGCTCACTGCAAAAGAGAAAGTATTTGACACTGTAGACAACCCTCTCCCTCCTGGATCAACCCTCTTTCCTCTTTGAGTTTTCCTGACATTGCTCTTTCCTGTTTTTTCAGTCCATCTCACTGACTCATCATCTGGATCATACCCACTAATTCTGGGTGTACTCCAAGAACTATCCTGAGTCCTCTTCTCTTTTGTTTCTACATTCTCTCTCTCTCTCTCTCTCTCTCTCTCTCTCTCTCACTTCACCCGTTCCCATGGGTTCAACTATCATTTTTATTGAGATGATTCCCGGATCTATAGATTGAGCTCCAATTTTTCTCCTAAGCTCCAGTCCCACATGACCTGCCTTTTGGACATTTCAAATGGATGACCCATAGGCATCCATTTAACATGTCTAAAATTTAACATGTCTAAAAGAGAATTCTTTTATTCTCTTTAAACTCACCTCTCTGCCAACCTTCCCTATAACTCCCAAGAGCACTATCATCCTTTCAGTCACCCAGGTTCAAAGATTCAATGTTACCCTCAACTTCTCACTCTCACCCTATCCAATTAGTTGCCAATCCTGTCTCCTCTATGTTCACCTATATCCCCTCCTGTCCACTCACACAGCCACTACCTTATTTCAAGCCTTCATCACTTCTCCCTTAAACTACTAGAATAGCCTCCTAACTGGTCTCAGTGCTTCAAGTCTCTTCCCTACTCCAATATATCCCCCCACAGTTATTAAAGTGATTTTCCTATATCTCTGTGCCTTGGCAATGGCTGTCCCCCATCCTTCTTCACTTCTCTTAGAATCTACTTTCCTTTAGGACTTAGCTCAACCACCACCTTCTACATGAGTCTTTTCTGATCCCCCATATGCAAGTGCAGTCCCTCTCCAAACTGTACATTTATATATGTGTATATCTCCTACATTAACATGTAAGTTCTTTGAAGGAGCTCCTGATTTACCTAGTTCTTAAGTAACATAATGCCTGGCAAAAAGTAGTATAATAAATCCTTGGTGATTAACTGAATTTTGGATGACCTAGTTTTTGCTATTTCCCAAGCAAGTGAACTTGGTAAACCCAAAGTGAATTGTTTGAAGGCTTTAATGACAATTTAGGAATTTAAGAAGCAATTATTTACTCAAAAGCTTCAACTTAGAGGTGTCACTAATGAATGCTACATGCAAATAAAATTATCACAATCATAATATCAGGGCTCCCACAGCTTTTTACTACATAATCCTGAGCATGACATTTGACCTTTCTCAGCTATAAAATGGAAATTCCATTACTGCACCACTTGCCTCATAATTTTTTTTCAGAAAAACACTTAGTAAATCTTTAAAAAATACAAATATACACTATTATTATTTTCAAGTAGTATAATTTTTTCAACAATTAAAATAACAATTCAGATTCACTTGCCTGTTAGAGTGTTGCAATATACAGTGATCCTCACATGGCTTTCCCTTCACATCTAGGAAATACAGAAGAATTAAGTGTATCATAGTTGCTAAATTAATACTTGCTATAATATTACATTCTACTTAAAGAAAACACCTATCATTTCAAAGACAAGTGATCATTTTGATAAGCAATCTTAGAACACAGATAACAGATTTCACGGTACACATAGTTTCTTATGATGTACCAACCTCCCAAAACACAATAAAAAAACTTAATATTAAAAACTAAATACTTATAACAGTATTTTAAGGGTCCAGAGTGGAAACATTCTTCCTTTTTCCCCATGTTGTGGCTGACACCACGGAGGAGGATCGCCCCTACCTACTACAAGGTTCTGGGTTGGAAGAGAACCCACGAGGACTGTTCTCTTATCTATATGGAAGGCTGGCAGCAGTAAGCCTCATGGTGGCAAGTGACATCATACAGGAGGGTACCTCATGGCTTTGATCACCCCATTTTCTCACCAGGGCTGGGAGAGAGGGGACCGAAAAGTCTGCTGCCTCATGAGGCTTTTCCCGACATTGCCAAGCCTACTCTGGGCTCTCAGGGCCTCGGGGAGGGATGCAAACCCGAAGTCCCGGGTAAAGCGGCCGCCTGGACGTATCCACCATCACAGCAGCTCCCCCTCGCCCCCCGCCCCCCGCCCGGGTGATTCTTTGCCATTTAGGACGGCTTTTGATAAATAAAGAAACCCTTCGTGGAGCCCGCCTTTGACTCGAAACCCCAGGTGTGGGATGACACCGGCCCCCTCCAGGGCGGGGTCAGCCCTGACCTTCCCAGGACTCCGCAGTGCTGAGCATCGCGCCGGGCACACAGTAAGCGCTTAATGCATGCTCGCTGAAAGGCGGGGTCGGCGCCCCGCTGGCCCTGGCCTGGCCTTCTGTCCGAGGGCCGGAGCCACCGCTCCCGCCCCTGCCCCGCCGTCTCCCACCTACCGGCCTTGTACCAGCGGGTGAAGTAGCGATCCACCAACGACGGGGCTGCAGGGGCGATGCCCCCGGCACTGGACGCCATGCCGAGCTCGGCTCCTCTAGATCCAAGGATCGCAGCCCCACCGAGAAGTCACCGCGCACTTCCGCCTTCCCACATGGAGCGGCGGCCCCCGCGCGCACCGAGCCTCGTGCGCGTGCGAGCGCCCCCTTCCGGCAGCCGAGGTGGGCGCAGCTGTGCAGCGCCAGAATGGCTTCGAATGCGGTGGTTCGTTCAGCTACTCTGCAATCCTTGGATGAATAGACTGCTGGGATGAGGAGCGAGGTTGAGCGGCCCCTGTTAAAAATAAGGGAGGCCCGGGGCACATGACCAGTTCCTTCAAAGGTGCCCCAGGAGAGATTCTCCATCACTCCTATTTTACATATATATATGTATATATATAATATGTATATATGTATATATGTGTGTATATATATGTATATGTATATGTATATGTATATGTATATGTATATGGTTTCAGGCATTCTCACCTTCCTTTTTTTATATTAGTATATCCCAAAGCTCAGGTCAGGCCACATTCCACCCCACTCAAAAAAAAAAAACTTTCAGTGGTTCTCCAGTGCCTTCTAGGATAAAATATTTGTTCCTCACCTTGACATTTAAGGGCTTCTACCAGACTTAATTCACACCACATTGACAAACTCTTACCTTCCAGTCAAACCATACTACTAGCTGTTCCCAGAACTCAACACACCATCTCATCAACCCATACCTGGAATTTATTCCCTCATCTCTGCTTGTCAGGTGCCACCTCTTCCAAGAAACCTCAGTTTTTAAGTCTCTTGCCTGGGATCATACAAATAGTAAGTCCGTGGGGTGAATTCAAACCTAGATCTTTCTAACTTAAAATTGAATTCTCTCTGTCCACTAAAAGATATTGAATTAAGTTCGAGCAATAGAATCACTGAATCAAAAGATGTAATTAGTTTCCACAATACAATTTTTCCACCTAACAAGCAAAGTCAATGCAAGTTTCAATGTAACTTTAAAATGTTATTAAATAAAATAAAATTCATCTTTCAACAAAGAGAAAGCAATTATACAGTTCTATAATAGCAAAGGGACTTGTAGAAGTACCTAGAAAACTGACATCTCTAAGATTCCAAAATATATTTCTTTACAAACATGCAAAACCTTTAGAATTCCACAAGGAAAGCTTGACTTGAAAAATAAAAGCAAAAGAGCTCATTCCCAGTTCAGATGAGCTAGAGAACGACTTATTTTCAAAAAGGCAGTGGAATAAGGAATAACTGACTCATTCCCACATCCCAAGCAAAACAAAACAAAACAAAAAATAGGATACAATCTATCAAACTCCTTAGCTCTTACTGAATGAAACAAGTTACAAGATATGTTACAAGTTATGAGTTACAAGAATGTCCTCAAGTCTCTTCTTCATTAAGACAAACATTCTGAATTCCTTCAACTGATCCTTGTTTGACACAGTTTCCATTCTTCTCACTTTTCTGGTCCCTTGCCTCAGGATGACTGGCACTTTGTCTGAGGGTCCCAAAAGTTAAAGTATGCTAACATTAAAGGTACTCTTCAGCAGGTAAGAAGTAACTAAGCTTATCATTAATTAGCAAATAGGAACCCACCAAATAACTGACACATTCCAAACCAACTCTCCCTGGAATAAGAACTCAACCTTTCTCACCTAGAAGGTGGCCTCCAAGCAATAGAATTGTGGTCTCCCTGTAGACAAAGATAGAGATTATCCCAAGACCTCTTCCTCTATCCTCCATGTGAGCTAATGTCCCAAGAACTGTGTACAAAGGTCAAAAGTCTGTCACTGTTGTCTCTCCTCACTCCCGTCTGAATTTGTCTTACTGTTGACGCTAGATACATTTGATGGTGCTCTCTTGGGACTTTGTGTATGCTCCAAAGTTGTCAATGCCTTTTGTAAAATATAGTGCCCAAAACTGAATTCAGTGTTGTACCTGTGGTTTGACAGCATAGAATGAAATAGTAGCTACAAAATACTATTTACAAAAGTACTATTTATAAACTAAAATACACTTTCTTCATCCTGAACATCATACTTGAAAATGTCAGCTATAGCCTAAGATCAAATTAGCTTTCCTGGCTGCCCAGTCACACTGTTGAGTCACATTGTACTTACAGTCAACTAAACCCCTGAGGCTTTTCAAATGAATGTCTATCTGGTTGTGAATTCTTCATCTTGTGTTATTTCTATAGGTCTTTACATATCAAACCTAGTTGAAGACTTCACATTAATGCTGTTAAAATTCTATCTTTTTACATTTGGCCAACATGATATATTCTCTTTGGAGCCTAATTCTGCTATCTAGCATATTATCTGTCTCTCTTTGATTTGTCTCTCTCTTCCTGAGAGACAGCATTATGTAATAGAAAGAGAGCTGAGTCTGGAAAAGTCAGAGAAGCTGAGTTCAAATCCAGCTTCTGCTACTTAATTTTCTGTGTGACCTTGGACAAATAACCTAATGTCTCTAGGCCTCAGTTTTATGGTGGCCTCTACGGATATATAGCACCCAGTGCAGATACTCCAAGTCACAAGAACAGATTTTTTAAAAAAAACTGTTTTCTTTGTACCAGGACAGATGAAAAAATGGAAGCCCAAGAAAGGTCATAACATACTGTTGGAGCACAGATCTAGAGTTAAGAAGGACTTCCAAAACCATACAATCCAACTTCCTCATTCTAAAGATGAAAAATTTGAGGCTCAAGGAAGGGAAGTGACTTATCCATGGCTCAGAGGTAGGAAATGGAAAAACCAGGATTTGAACTCAGGTCCTCTGACTGAAAATCCAGAGGTCTTTCTGTTCTACTACTTCTCCCCTCCACATCTCACCTTTGTCCTTTCAGTCACTTGCAACTTTGATTCCTCAGATTGGGATGTTCCAAGATTAGTAACTATAGAGCATCACCAGAAGAATGAGTATATTGAAAACATGAGGCTTTATTGCAGGAAACAATTCAACATTGTATAATTTTCCAAATGCAATCTAGTCCACTCTCTTCCTTCCATTCAATTCTGCTCTCAGGTCACTGTATACTTGCAGTCTGTCCCAAATCTATGCTATAATGTACCAAACTCAATGGCCTGGCCAGCCAATATCATCTTGATGGTATGGCATCACTTCAAAAGTGATCTGGGATTTCCTTTGCAAGGGGTACTCCTTCCAGCACCACAGAACTTATATGAACTGATATAAAGCGAAATGAAAAGAACTGGAAGATCATTGTGCACAGTAATAGCAATGTTATAATAATGATCAACTGTTAAAGGCTAGGCTACTCTGATCAATACAGTGATACAAGACAATTCCAAAGAGCTCATGCTGAAAAAATACTATCCACCTCTGGAGAAGGAATTGATGAACTCTGAGTGCAAACTGAAGTATAATTTTCTCACTTATTTTTTTAAAATATGGAAATGTTTTGTATGGCTTCACATATATAATTTAATATCATATTGCTTGCCTTCTCAGTGGGTGGGGGAGGGATAGAATTTGGAACTTAAAATTTGAAAAGAATATTTAAAATAAATAATGAAATTTTTTACAGGAAAAAAGTCAAATTAATCTCCCTACAATGCAGGTCTGACCACATCACCCCCTCCCTCATTCAATACACTCCAGTGGTTCCTCAGTCTCCAGGATCAAATATAAAATCTTGTGTTTGGCATTCAAAGTCATCACTCGCACCTCTGCCCCTTCCCAGTCTTCTTACATCTTACTCCCCTCCACATATAGTGTGATCCAGTGATAATGATCTCCTGGCTGTTCCTTGCAAGCAAAGTTCAATCTCCTGACTCCATTGCTTTTCATGAGCGGTTCCCCATGCCTCTAATGCTCTCCCTCCTCAATTCTACCCTGTAGCTTTCTTCAAGTCTTGGCTAAAGTCCCACTTTCAGCAAGAAGTCTTTTACTCCGCTACCTTGGCTCTGCCCCTCCAAGAAGTCTCTCTGAAACTACTCCCAGTTTATTTTAGATAAAATGGTTCTATAAAATTATTTTATTATATATTTTTATTTATATAGTTATATAAATTTATATAGAGAGCAGCACTGTTTGTTCTTTGCTTTTCTTTGTATACCTAGCGCTAAGCACAGTGCCTGGCACATAGCAGGCACTTAAGTATTAGTTGACTAACTCAAGGAAATTACTGTTTAGTAGGAAAGGTAAGACATGTCCACTAACTGCTGACCAATTGACACTAGTGGGCATAAGTACCACCCTACCACTACCACCAGCATTCCTCCTTGCAACCCAGACCCTGCAGCCATCATCCAAGGAAGCAACCCTAGTGGAGGTGTCAATATGCTCATTGATTACTGACCAAATGCCATCTCCAGGCCAGGCAAGGCAGCCTAATTGAAGCATCAAGGTACCATGAGGGAGGGACAGGTAGCAACATGGTCCAGCCACATTCAACAAGCCTGGACTACCATGGGCACTCAGACCTCAGTGGAGAAGCCCAGGACACTGAGCTCAAGAACTCTGGGAATAACAGTATACCCAGTACACCCCACACTATCAGCCCTGCTTTCAGCCTAGCCCCCATGGCTTTCATCCAGAGAAGCAACTATGGTGCACATAGTTCAAAATCAGAAACTGTTATGTTTTTTGTCAATGAAAACTGCTTTGCAATTGCACCCAGTTGAAACCTCCAGATATATGTTGTCTCTCCCAATAAAATGTGAGTGAACTCCTTGAAGGCAGGGAGTGGTCTGCACTTTTCTATTTATATCCCTGGTAATTAGCATAAGTACCTTTTAATTCATTCATAAGTGCAAAAAAGAGATACAAAACATTCAGAAGTTCAAAAAAGAGATATAAAATGCTCAGAGAGTCCAGAGATGGCAAAGATTCTTTTTAAGTAGGGTACCAGGGAATGGAGTATTTGAGCTGGCTCTGAAAGGATTTCAATAGCTGGAGGCCTTCCTCCCACGATTAATAAAGGGAGGAAATGGTCATAAGAGTAATGTGAGATACGATTGGAAAAGTAGGTTGGAGTCACACCTTAGAGGAACTTCAATAATAATAATAACTAGCATTTATATAGTCTCTTTGCAAATGTCATCATTTTGTCCTCACAACAAACCTTGGAGGCT